TCCTAGAAGGTAATGCTTCTCCACTCTCTGCCCCAACCTCCTTCCCCCAACTTACTGTAAGTCTCCAAGCTACCACTAAATGACCAAACAGCCTTTGGATTTGTTACATCCAAATATTTCCAAGAACAAGTTGAATTAGGTAGCATCTGAGGCACCTTTTCCTAGATTTTTGTGACACTTTTAAGAATATTTGATAACCTGTTTGCAAACCAAATTTTGGGATGATACTCATGCAGATTTTTTAGCCCTGTATCTGGCTGAGACCTCTGATTTTGAGGATTATATTTTGGATATGATTGATATCTTTTAGCTACAGACATGGTACTTATTTAGCATTGACAACACAGGTAAACAAGCAGCCCTATTAGCATGTAGCAATAAAATAGAAGGCAATATCCCAAGCACAATTTCACAAAGACACCATGCACAGTGGTAGAACCAATATCTAAAGAGTCACACAAAGGATCCTATTCTTTGTCAGTGGCCCAGACTAATTCACAGTAATGTCAAAATCCTGCTTAAACATACTGATTTTTACAACTCTTTAATCTTCAAATTCATTCAAGTAAATCTAATGGATTTGGTAAATCCTTACACAATGACACACGAATACAAACAGCTTATTTATATTATTTTTCCATTCTGCTTTTTTTGTTTAACTTTAGCAGCTCAGGAATATGTTAAAAATAACATAACTTCTAAATGTGTGTTAATTTAATTCTGCTGTACATGAAAACCAAACTTTTGAGACATTAGGAGAGGTATGAGATCTGGCTCTGAAACATATAAAATATGACTTTTCATATTTTTCTCTTTAACCAAGAATACTAACAGACATAAAATTAAATTAACCTACATGAATGCTATTTTGAAATATGTCTTTTATCTGAGAATGAAATGAAATGAGAATGAAAAATCATTCATTCATAGTTTTACAGGGAAAACTAAACAAATGTGAGAAAACCGAGTCTAGCATGACACATCATTTTACCAAGATGCTGAACCAACCAAAACAAAATCCACCAGTCAATGAAAGGTAAAAATAAACTCAATGTCTCAATCTGAGAAGTATAGACATTTTAAAAAATTAAATATCACAGCTCAGATTAATGAGAAATCATCTTTTTTTTTTTTTACCTCCTCTGCCCAAACCAATTGATCTGTGTATCAGGAAAGCTCTCAAGTTTGATTTAGCTTTTTATGTAAGAGTTAACAAAAGAACTCTATACTTGAGACTATCCCAAATTCAAAAACTATTAACTTGTAATTATGCACATATTAGTTCCTTTATTCCAATTGTTATGTCATCATAAAATACTTTTACTTTCTCACAGACGAAACAACCAACACTAAAAGCTTTTATTTCGTAAATGATTTCCTGGAAGAAAACTGGGAAAAGGTGTTTCATCACGTTGTCTAATCTTAGTTGAATGAATCTTCATCTTTATACCAAAAAAGGCAGTTCATAAGGCTTTTCTAGACATCAATAATTTTTTTAAAAAAATGTTTTAAGGCAAAGGTTAAAATAACAATGCAGCTTTATGTTATTGCTCAAACTGGTATAAAAGTATGTGAACCTATCATAAAAAGGTAATTTCTAATGAAAATGCTTATTATTTCAAATTGAAGCAATGTAGAACTATGAATGGGATAATTTCCCAGTAAGATTCTTCTACGACCCATCATTTTATGGTTTAAAAGTTTAATACTTTCTTGTTAGAATGTAGGTATTAATGCTGCTTGTCGGAATTTAAGCTATATTATCTGATTTTTAAGCTTCTAACAACTAAAGTATTCTCCTTTTTTGGAGGGAGGATTCAACAGTTTTTGCATATGACATATAGGAATTCTCTAAATGTTCCTAATGAAAACAATTTTCTCATCTGAGAAGGAAAGACTATCTATTATTTCCTCAAAATTTACTCTTCCTTTTGGTCCAATTTTCCATTTTCACCTCCCCAATTTTATTTAGATCAACACTAGTTCCTCGATCACTTAAAAGCGATCTGGCCCTAAGAAATTTAATCTGCAGTAAATAAAAAAATAGCCATAATGTAGGATAATGAGATCTAGTTGTAGATTCCCAAAGCAAAGCTCTAGAACAAAACTTTTTGACCTTGATAGTTGTAACAAAAATAGAATTTTGTCATTTTGGGCTCTGCAGCACAGATACTACTAATTGGGAAGCAAAGACAAGGGGAAAGGCTTAAGTAGCTACTGATTATAAAACTTAATGTTATTTTAATGGCTCTTCAAAATGTTTGCTAAACATTATTAAATTATATTTATAAACAGCAGAACACTAAAGAATGTAACTTGCAATGCTTTCATTGACAAGTGACTCTAATTTCCAGTAGCATCATTATGGAAATTCCTTTTCCCTAATGATATGCAAAACATTATGGTAACAAATGATCAGAGAATAAGTGAAGGGGAATAATGAAAGGATACTCAGCCTTTACTGCATGTTTTCTAACTTCAACACAGTGTACAATTTTTTGTAGTAACATCATAAAAATTCAACTTTTAATACATTGTCCCCATTTTTCTTTGGGTATTTTCCTTAGTGATACAAAATAGGGACAATTAACCTTGGGGAGAGTCTCCCCCTTTCCTCCCATCTTCATTAATTATTTCCTCTTATTCAGGAAAAGAGTACAATCATTTTACATGCAGCTTTCAATTTTCCTTTGTTCTTCCACAGATGATCTTGTCCTGTTTTCATAACATTCGGTCTATTGTTTCTTTACTATAGATCGTATGACAAAACTAGGAAAGTAGGCAAAAAACATAAAAGTACCTCCATCAATTCTCTAATAAAATTGGAACATTTTGACAATTTACACGTTGGCAAATGTAGTACTGATCAAGCTAGAAAAAGTGGTTCCCACAATGAATCCCCAATTTCTCAAAGACTCACTAGGTTAAAAGAGTTAAGTCAACAATTCTAGACTTGCATCCTGACCCTCCTGGAAGACTATGCATAGATTTGTCAAGAATATCATTATAACCTCCCCTTTAAACTGTATTTCTGTGGACCCTTAGAGTGGGAACAATTTCTATTTTCATAACATTATGAAATCCCATACTAAAATATTTGTTGATAAATTTTCATTCAAACCAACTTTTTTTCCCTCCTTAAAGGAAAACCAAAAGCATCCGTATTAGGATGTCTTCTATGAATGCTTAATAACTTTTGACCTTAAATCAGGGATTCTTAAACTGGCATCTGTAAATCTATTTTTAAAAAATATTTTCATACATGTATTTCACTGTAATTGATTTTTTTAATCTATGTATTTTATTTCAGGCATTTAAAAACATTATTGTGGGGAGTCCACAGGCTTCACCAGACTGCCAAAGGGGTTCATGATGCAAAAAAAGTTTAAGAACCATTGCATGAGATTTTGTACAAAACCTATTATAGAAATCTAGACATTTCAAATAAAATAATCCAGGAAAAATGGAGGTGATGCGTTGACCTTAAGAATTAGTTCAGACAAATTTGGCTCTTCAGTCTATAGCATAAGCCCCATAGATCCCCAACATGGCATATTTATTATAACAGTTAAATTAATCAGCAAATATGGAGGCAGTTCTCAAGTGGAAACAATTTTTAAAAATTGAGGTTAGAATTCCCACAGAAACCATGTAGGATCTACCATATAAATGATCTTAAGGCTGTATCATAGATCTGTAACATTAAAAAAAATCAAAGCCCATGTGTACTGTAAAACCACTTGTCTTTCTTGCTTTTGCCTCCAATCCTCAAATAATTACAATATGCTGCTTTCCAAATGAAGGAAAATGGAGTGCAGTCTAGGATTCACTAAGCTATATAAGTGGAATTCTAGTCCACTCTTTCTCTTAATAGTATACCAAGCCTATAATACACCCATAATGATTAACAGTCATAAAAAACTTTGCTTAATATTATCCAGAAAATTTTTGAAAGTATAACATCTTATAGTATATTTTTCTGACCTCATAAGCATTGAGTTATTTTATTAAGAACATATATTTGATGACACCATCAAAGTGGAAAATCCAGTACCAAAATTTTTAAACCAGTATTTAATGGACTGTATATCATGTTTAGTTTTTTTATACGTGATACGTCAAAATAGCTAATTTTTTCTCTGAAATGTTGTCTCAGACATTTACAGTTTAATGTCCCTCTCAAAATACTGACATTGGTCTATGAATCTGTGGCTATACAATTTGAAAATCTGCTTTCTGATTTGAATCCAAAAGAAAATGCTGAATTTAACATCACAAACCTTAAATTATTATGAAATTATTTTGTGAACTTCAAAATCCTAGAGAAACATGAACTATTTTGATGATTAAATTAAGAGTAAAGCAGAATGTGTAAGACCTTAAATCTTCATACTGTATACTCACATAAGCATTTTTGCTTTTCAGCCAAACATCAGGAAATTATAAAATACAAATGTTAATATATTTAATCCAAAACTAATTTTCTAGTGATTTTACTATATGGGTCTATATTTTCTAAGTGTGAACATAAAAAGGTGTTCAACTTAAGTCATTCAAAATTTTTTTTTTGGTCTATTATCATTCTACTGTGATGAAAAGAGGGGCATATAGCTGAGTAATTCACTGTTTCTTAGTGAACAAACTTAAGGTTTCTAAATTTTTATTCTGAGCAGAACACATCAGCTATAACTTTCTTACCAATATTTTTCTGAAAATATATGCAATTTCAGTTTTTAAAAAAACATTAGCAACAATTCCTGTTTTGTCAAGTTGAGAAAGCCAATGACTACATTTTGACAAGTTAAGTTTGAGTTTCCCAGGTCATCAATGGAAATGCTTCTTCTTAGGCCATGAATTCTTTTTCTCTCTTAATGAAAGTATGAAGAGACAACAACAATTTGTCTGATATAGCACTGTGATTTCTAACATGCATCAAAAATCCTATTGTAAAAGATCCTTAGAAATTTTGGCTGAAATAAGTTACTGCAAATGACAGTAGCTGATTTTGAAACCACAACATCTCTACCATTTATTATTATTTCACAAAAAATACCCAGAAGTGATCAGATCATATTTATAGGTAATTGTTTGCCAAGTGTCATTTTTTCCCCTAAAAACAAAACCGTTTTTGAGTTATACAAGTGTCAAAAAGCAACTTGGAACCAGTAATTATTATTATTATTATTATTATTATTATTATTACGGTTACTTTTTAAACCAACCCCTAAACAAAACAGTTGTATAACTTAAAACCGAACCAACAATTTTGGATGAAAATTGGTATTCATTCCCTATTCCAAAATACAAACCAAAAACCAAATGATTCCTGAGCCAATGTTTTGTGTTAGCTAAATTTTGGCTTGGGGAAAAATATTAAGTGCCAAGATATAGACAGACCACCTAAGGATTTATCATGGAAATGCTGACAACCTTAAACTATAGCAATGCAAATGTGTCCCTATAAACACTGTATTTTTTATTATTATTAAAAGTGGTAGTGTTTACATTTGCAGGTATCTTACATTTCAGCATCATGAACACTGAATAGAATGAGTAAACTCTTGTCTGTAAGGTCAAAGATTCCCAAATGGGTGACTGAGACAGAAAGGTAAAGGTCTTTGAAATTAAAAATAAATAAATAGAAAAGAAAACAAGGCTAAGACTAAGAAGATATGGGGAAAGTGTTAGATTGGAATGGTTCAAATGTGGTATTAGCAAATTGATGGCCACAAAATTTGTTACAGAAATCCCCCACCAAGTTGCTAATGAATAAGCTTTAAAGATTCAACTTTTTTTTTTGGTGGGGGGGGGAAGACAATAGAAAAGTTACTTTTAAAAGGCTTGTGTTACTAGGCCAACAAACTGCATGACTGATAAAAAAAAACTAATGGTATACAATCATACAATCCATACCTTTTGTTGGGAAAATATGCCTTTCTTCACACAAAATGTGGGGGGGGAACATTTTGTAAATATTGTATTATTTAGCATTAAGATTTGCTTACAAAGGTTTCTCTCTTTTTTTTTTCAAATCTCAAATGTTATGAGTATTTCTTTATGATAGGTACTCTCCTTAACCATTTGGGAAATGATTCATAAAGTCTTTCAGTTTATCTTTCCTCATATTTCATGATTAGCCATAGACATGATTAACTTTGTTGCCTTTTCAGAAGTTTGAATATACCCTTAACACTTTGTATACCCTTAACACTTAATTAAAGTTTTAAAAAGTTTGGCACTATGATTCAAAGTTTTTGGCTGTGGTAACAAAAATTAAGGCTTATTTTTTAATTTTCCTCTAAGGTCCCACTTTTGCCTATTAAGTTTCCCTAATTCTTAAAAACTACAGGCACTGGATACATTCTTTAGTGCACAGCAATACTGTACATCAAGATCTTCTGTCACTTTAGAGGTTCATGCAGCAGCTTTTCCTTGAACTTATAAACTACACAAACAACTTTTCAAAGCACATTAGCTATCACACGCATAGAATTGGGGCAATTTTCCACAAGTATTTATCTTTGCCCTGAAGATTTCCAAGACTCACTACTTGGGTAAAAGAAGTCAAGACAAACATTACCAAATCCAGAATCTCCACAATCATGGAACTGGACTGGGACAGAAGTTTAAAACAAAAGCAACAAAAACCATACCACATGGTGACAATTCTTAAACAACAGGCTTCTGAAAACCAGTATTTGGCACCTGTTGCAAATCTATTCATATAAACATTGATTGCAACCAAATTTTCATGTAACCTGAATTTCTTCCCCAAAGCAACTATTGGTGAAAAAGCTAGTATCACTAAAGAGGCAAGTTTTAAATTCACTTCATTAAAATTCAGATTGGTTTGGGTTTGTTGGGTTTTTTTAAGTAATATAGGCTAACACTGTTCTAAATCTGATATTACAACTGTAATTCTTGACTGTACAGATTGTACATGAAGGTTTAGACACGTGAAAAAGTAACACTCACAGAGACATAAAACACCTAGGTATAAAATATAAAGCAGTGTAGTAGTTACTAAAATTACATGCTTTCTTATTGCTACAGTGATTTTTGCTCTTTTTTCTTTTTACTGTACCACATGTTGTTCTAAGCATATAATTTGCATAAATTATTCAAGTTTAAGAAAAATCCACACATCTTTTCACTTTTAAGCTACTTATATAGTTAATATAAAAACAAACATTTCTAAGGTATCTCTTTATTAAAAGAGAAATAAAAATGTCATTTGCAACTGGAATTCAGTGGCCAAATACAAGGGCTGTGTACACCTTGTCACTTTTTATAGTATTTTGCCCACTCGATCTAGTGGAGGTTGGTGGGGATTCTGCCCAGTCTACAGAGGGTCACCATACCTGCACAATGTCTATGTGTTTTTTTCTTTTTTTTTTTTGTTTTTGCAAAAAGGACTATGAATGACCAAAGACTAACATTTATAATTTGTAGCAAAATTTGGTTTATGTAGAAACAAGCCATGTTTTGCATTTGGATAGAGATTTAAATGAGTTAAAGCTAAAATTAAAAAGCATGATGCTGCGACATCTGGTCACTTGTTGAAGACCTCACTTTTAAAGTGGTTAAGTTTGCACAATTTGTACTTTTTTAAAACTAAACAGTATTTTTCCTTCTTTTATAAACCAGAAAAACTAAACTACAGATAAATTTCCCTACCATGAGCTAATGCTGCAGATAGGGTTGACAAAGCTGTACAGCGCAATCAAACATACTTACATCTTAGCTCATTTTTCAGGTACAGCCATAATCAAGGCACAAAGATCTTCTACAAGTTATTTTTTTTTCAGTAAAGTTGTACAAAATAATACATTTTACAGTCTGTACAAGAATAATAATCCAGCAGTAAAATAAAAAAAAAAACGAGGGGAGGAGAGGAAAGGAGGAGAAAGAAGAAGGGGAGAAAAAAACCTGTGAGGACAACTGTCCAGTTAATGATTTTTATATATAGAAGACAGGATCATCAGTGGACAAACCGAAAACAGTGTGTGGTGAGCTCTCTGCAATCACAGGTGGTATGCAGTTCAAATAATAATGTCCGAGGTTGTCCTAAGACCACCAAAGCTGGATTTAAAAATACCCTTTTGAAAGGTAGCAGTAAGTTTTTGCACTAGGTCTGCTGTAGAATTGTCAGTATTTCCGTTCAAAGCCACATTACAGTCAAAGAGAACCAAACTTGGGTGTCTTTCTTCAAACTTGGTCTGTAACTTGGCACCTTCTCTCATCTGATGCAGTGAATGGATAAAAAGTTGAAATCATGGGTAATATGAGTTTGCCCATAATGGTGTTACATTACAAATATTTCTCTCTCCATATGTGTATGCACATTTATGTATGTATGTATGTATGTATGTATGTATGTATGTATGTATGTATGTATGTATGTATGTGTATTTTAACTTTTATTATTCCCCAATCCTTTATAGTGCTTCACACATTCAGGGCTTTATTTGTTATTTGATTCTGTTGCCAGTAATAATGTTAGGGAACCCAGGTGAAAATAGCCTATTTGGTTGGCCATTTAAAAACTGTCCAAGGGAAACAGAAGCAAGCTAAAAGTCTGCTATTGTCCAGCAAGGAAAAAAGGCGAGGGTGCAAATTGGAGGGTGACTGCATCAATTCTCTTCTACCCTATGTGGGCAAATATTTGTTTTGTGTTTTGTTTTGTTTTAACACGAGCATTAAGGAGTCCAAAACACAAGGAAAAGTGCTCTCCATCACAATAACTCATATTGACGAAGGTGCATCCGTTGAATAATGTCCCGACAGTCATTGAAAACCCTTCTGATGTTTTCTGTATCCACTGCACATGTAAAGTGGGGGTAGCAGTAGTGCCGTCCATCTCCACTTGCTGTACTGATTCTCTGGAGGAGTAAACAAGATTATATTAGGATAAGCAAATACATTAAACTTCCATGACTTTATGCAGCAATGAAAATGCTTGAGCAATAAAAACTTTGATATTTCTGATAGCTTCCATTGGGGACAGCACAAAAAACAGTGAATTCTAAACCTCTAAGAATAAATCAAGAGAAAAATCAATGCATGATATTACATGATAACGTAGGGATATATATAGTCAATGTTATATACAGCCAACTGTATATGAACACACACACGCACAAGATGGCTTCTCTTCTAGCCTATCAGTTAACATGCTTTTGGGCTGTTTGCTCCTAAGTTCAATCAGTACACAAATAGAAAATACAAACTAATTTTAATAATAGCCTATAAGAAACTGAATTAGATAGGCAAATCTGCTGCAGGTTGAAGGGAGTGGAAATCACATGATATATTTATGGAAGAACACAGACAACAATTTGCACAGGATGAGAAATCTTGACCAAATTGTGATTTGCAATAGCAGAGGAAGAGTCCAAATAAATGAGATCACCAATTCTTTGAAGTACAGAAATAAGTTTAGCATATTTGTGAAGCAAGCAGATATAAGTTTAGGAGTAGTCACTGTTTTCAAATATCTGGCAATTTCTCCCCTTGGTGATTACTGATAATTAAGAATGGGTTTTACTTGTTATGTTCCCTTGCCCCTTTAGTGGTGAGGACTTGATAAAACTTTTTACCTCAGATACTATTTCTAGAAATGTAAATCATGCCACTCAAAAAATTTGTTATGCTAATTCCCACTGTAAAACCAAGAAAAATTTTCACTACAAATTTGTATTGCATTCTTTGTAAACAAAAAACCTCAACTCCAAACAAACCCATTCACATTCAACAGCAGTTGAGTAGATGCATAATTGCCCTAAGAAACAACAGTCTAATTAAATAATATATAGGGCAAACATTTTCTTTACTAGAAGTACTAATAATTGTTAATGATCATGGTCACTTAGCTGTATATACTTTATTCAGCTGTTAATAAAACATAAACTACTAAGACCACATTACATATTAATAAAATATAACTAAAGACTGGAGTAGTGATTTCTCAAAGACAAAATTTTGTTATGAAATTTAAATTGCATAAATGAAAATGATACCATACTTACAAGAAATTCATCCCTAATAAAATACTTGGCCCTTGTAACTCTGGGATCCTCACCAGGCTCAGGTGTTGCTAATTGAAAGGAGAAAAAATTCTTGTCAAATCATATAATAGTAACGCAACAGTTTCAATGCATTTGTTGTCTTAAAGTTCATAAATCTATCACAGACCACAAATTATATACATCATTTCTTCTAAAATGAAGAGAAAAATTCACAGAAAATAAAATGTTTAGGCATGGCCACAAGGTAATTTTCCCATAATATAATATGGCCAAGTTAATTTTGTATTTCTAATGGGAACTACCTATTTATTTTCTTAACATTTTCATTATTTTATCTGCAATAAATATGTGACATATTATACAGCAGGTTGGTGACTTGTTAGAGAGACAGCATGGTGCAGTGGATAGAGAGCTGTCCTTAGAGACAGGATGACCTGGGTTCAAGTTTTACATCTGATATATGTGTGACCATGAATAAATTACTTAACCTCTAGGTGACCCAGCAACAATTTATGACTCTAAATTACAGACTTAATGTTGATCTATATTGGCAAAGGGAAATTACATACTGAGTTTCCTATACTGAAGAAATCATAAGTCCATACTCCCTCTCTCCCCTGCTAGCTGTGATCAGGTTGATTTGTAATGTTACCACTTCAAGAATTATAGGAGCCTTCAGAAGTCCAACAAAATGTGGCAATAATCTGTACACTGCAACAGTAAGATGGTAACATAATATATTCTTTACATCTAACTGAATAGTGTTTTGTGACATTTCACAAACATATAAAATAATTTTGGTAAGAATTTAATTAAGATTTCCAATATGAATACTTAAAAATCAGAGTCATAATAAGAAACATATAATTTTAGGATACATATGACTGGCCAAACTGACAGCCTTCTAATAGCTAATATCAACTTCAGGAAGAAAACCTTACCATCATCTGGTGTAGTGTAGCGAGCAAATTCTGGAAAGTAGTCCTCAATTTTAGATTTCCCTGCCAAAACTTTCTCTGCTAATAAATCCTGTTTATTCAGGAATAGAATTACTGAAATGGTCCGTAGCCACCTACCAAAAATTGAAGCCCAAAAAATTGTTAGATAGCTGGCAGGTATTAATAAAATAATAAAATGTATTTATTCAAATCATATACTCATTTGAACAGAGCTGAAATATTTTATAGTATGTATCCTCAACTTCACTGCAAGGGATATTCTCTTAATCTTTTTTTTTAAAAGAAATTAATTATATTTTGTCAGATTTATACTCTATTATCCTCCAGGTCAGGGTTTTTTAAAAAAAATTTGGGGTGCTGTATTTCAATATAATTGGTTTCCTTTGTAACACTATGCATTTTATTTTATTCATTTAAAAATATTCTTCTGGGAAGGAGTCCATAGGTATCACCAGACTGCCAAAGGGATCCATGACACACACACAAAAGATTAAAAACCCCTGCTCTGGAATATCTGATGGTTAAATGAAATGACTATTAACAAAATGAGAGCTGAGCAAACTATACCAAAACCAGAAGTACCATACTTTATACAATTTATCTAAATGTTGCAGTGAGACATTGGGTGATATGAGTATAGTTCAGTTCATGGACCTGTTGTTCCAGATGCTCTTGAAGAGATTTAGTGCTTCTTGAAGCCGATTGGTCTGATTGTCCTCTCGTATAACCATGTTGTAGCTACTGCTGGCCACCACAAATATTATAGCAGTCACATCTAGATAAGGAGAAATACAGGAATTATTATTACTCCAATATACAGACTCTCAGGAAAGCTTAAATTCTGAGTGCCAATCAGGAGGGAGATGGGCTGAATTTGAAAATACTTCATGGTCTCTTATGTATAAGAATCAAAAGAGAATTTAAAAAAACTTATGGAAATAGAAAGTGATGGAAGAATGGAACAGAAATAGAAGTGAACTACAAAGAAAGCTGGAATAAGTAGCTAAAAGCAAGCAAGAAAAAAAGGGATATAAAGAAAACCAAAAAAAGTTTTTCAAGGGAGAAAAAGAGAATGGAACAAAATCACTATTTGAAATCATTATTCAGGAAAAGATACTCTGGGGAACATAACCATGTGGCGTTTCATGTTGGATGCACTGAGGGGGAGTGGGTGTGAAGAGCAATACCAGTGACTGTCCAGAAACACATTTATGACCCCAGAAGCTGCATTTCTGTGGAATAATCCTTAGAATGCTTTTTTTTAGTGGTATATAGGGTTATACAAAGAATATCATGAAGCAAGACAAACGGAGAAAAATAATGAGAGGGTAAATGCATTCATCATTAAACATGACTAACGTAGAGGAGTAATCATTAGCTACTCCTACTCATTACTATAACTGTAAAGGGGCCACTGTGTCTTTCCAGGAAGGATTTCTCTTGTAGACACGTTGTAAAAATCTTCAATGGCAAGTTTTATGTGATTAAGACACATGATTTCATGTATAATCCTCTTTTTCTGTTCCACTTTCTATATAGAAATGTTTATTTGCAGGGGTATTTGTGGAATTCAAAATAAAAAAAAAATCTTCACTGGCTTTCCACTGATTACCAAAGATTTCATCTCTTAACTACTAAAAATTTTTTTTTCTAAATTATTTATCATGGCATTTAAAAAGAACCCTATGATCTGACATCAACTTACTTTTCCAACTTTATCTCCTACTATTCTATATCATGTGGCCTACATTCTAGCCAAATTAAACATGACATACCTCAGTCATGCTGGGCTCTTTCTCATTTTTGTGCTATGACTTACTGCCTTTGCCTTGAAGTCCTTCCATCTCTGCCTACTGAGATCCTAATCATGTTTGAAGGACCAAGCCAAAATGTTACCTCCTCTATGAACCCTTTGATGACATCTTCACAGTTTGAAAGCAATCTATCCTTCTTCTAAACTCCTATAACTTTATTGTATCTCCACTTATGAGATTTATTACATTTTACCTTGAATGTTGTACTTATATATCAAATTCTCCTACTAGAATATGCTCTATGAAAGTATCTTTCTTTGTGCCTAGTGTAGTGCCTTGAGTAGGCACTCAAGAAATGAATAGTCTTTTGTTGTGAAACTATTCTAGGAGCTCACTGATCATCTAATTTCGGTGGGACTAGACATGCATTTGGTAACATGGAAGATGAGATTTTGTTGAACGTAGTAAAATTTCAAACTCCTTCATAATAAGTTCTTCTTTCATGTTTAATAATGGTAGACAAGAAATGTTACTGAGTAATTTCACAGTCATGTTAAGCCTTTAAATATACTTATTCCTCTAAAAAAGTTTAAAAATTATTTCCATTTTACCATAAAACTGATTACATCATTTCCATAAACCATATCATTATCCTATCCTCCTGAAATGTATACACTTTTGGCACGGAATGTGACAACTGTTTTAACAACTGTCTCCAAACAAAAACATTAAATGACAATGCAGATCAGGCAGGGAACAAAGATCAGTTGTATTATAGAAGTAACTTTTAAACAAGCGTGAAATCACAGTGAAATAGCATTATAGCTCAAAAGAGATAATCATGTGAGAAAATCCATATACCAGAGGGGAGAAAGATGATATAAGCATTTAGGTGAGGTTCAGTGGAGGGAGAAATGGAAGTGCTATTGTGGGAGAATAATACTATCTATGGTCTACATGGCCAAAACCATATAGTTAATGAGCTCTGGAAACAGATTACAAGTGTGGCAAAAGATATAATGGTGATGGGGCACTCCAACTATTCAGACATCAGCCAGGGCAAATGAACCCATTACTGTATAGTTTGTGAGAGATCATGTATTGTGTACTATGAGACTATGAGACAAGATTTGAGTGTTCAGAAAAAGCTAAGATCTCAACCTAAAATTCTAGAGGGAAATCTCAAAAGAGATGGGATGCTCTCAAAAACAAGATTCTGATTATACAAACATAAATTAATATGATGAATAAAAGAGGATGCGATGCTGTCTGAGACAATAACAGAGGGATGATATAACAAAAGGAAAAGAGACATAGAGAACTTACAAACCAACTTGTATTATGTTCTCAAAATGGAAACAAGGGCAACTAACCTCAGTTGATAATTAATACAAAAGTGTTGCTAGCCTATAAGAATACTTTCAGGTACATGAAGTTTGGGAAGAAACTGAGGTTTAGTGATGAACAAGGTAAACAAAACAAGCTTTTTGTTGTTGTTGTTGGGGCAAGACAATGTGGAGATAAAATAATAGGTTCCCCCCCAACCGTGGGTTCCCACTCCTGCCCAGGCCAAGTGGGACGACGATAATGAGAAAGCAGGACTACACAATTTTACTTTGTTTCTATTTTTCTTCCAAGGAGAATGATCTGCAGACTAGGAAAGATAGAAGTGAAATGTTTAATAGGGAGTTGAAACCCAAGAAAATTAAAGAAATTCTAAGAGAACACACCTAGTTGTCATAAAATAATTCAAGTCTCCAGGCTCTGGATAAATAATGTCTTGTAACAGTAGTGTCAAATTAAAATAGAAAACAGGGGTCACTAAAGTACACATAAGGGTCTTTGTGACCTGAATGCTGACTAAGAAAACCATATATTAATATTATCTATGTTTTGTTGTATTTTAATTTATTTTGTTAAATATTTTCTAATTATATTTCATTCCGGTTTAGGCTGCAATCAGGAGTGTTGTGGGCTACTTGTGGCCTGTGGGCTACATGTTTGTCACCTCTGTCCTAAAGCACTACAATAATTGGCTTATAATTTGGCTGACCTGCTATCAGTAATCCTTGAAAAGGAGATGTGCTACATGAGTGGAGACAGACAAATGTAATTCCAATTTTCAAAAAGTAGAAGGTAGATTCTTCAAACTATAGACAAGTGACCATGGCTTCACATCCTGGCAAAAGTCTAGAGTTCAGTATTATTAATGAGTTGGTTTATAGGCATTTAAAGGAAATGGTGATCATTGAGAGCTAGCATGGGTTCTTCATGAACAGGATATGTTGAGACTGACCTAATTTCACATTGCGACCAGGTAACTAGTAGGGTAAATTAAGGGGATGCTGTAGCCATGGTCTATACCTAATTTTATCAAGGCCTTTGACAAATGCTCTTGTGATATCCTTGTGGTATCAGTCAGATAATATTATAGTTAGGTGGATTCAGAAATCTTTGAATAACAGGACACAGGGAATAGTGATTTAGTTCAGTATTAATGATGAGCCTGGAAGTACATCAGGAATTTGCCTGTGGCCCTGTACTGTTCAAGATTTTTATCAGTGACTCAGGTTAAGTCACAGATGCCATACTTATCAGATTTGTAAATGACAAGAAGAATGGTGGAACAGTTCACACATTGTATGACAGTGTGGATCAAAAATTTTTTTGTTAAGCTAGAAAGAACAATGACCTATGTCTCATAGGGACAAATATAAGTTTCTATGCCTAGGTATAAAAAACAAAACCAACTCTGTAGATATAGGACAGGGAAGAATAAAGCTCAACAATATTTAGCATGGAAACATCTGGGAATGCAAGCTCATTCTAAATTTACAGTGTGATTTGTATGTTGTTTTTCACTTGTGTCCCATTCTTTGTGACCCCTATTTGTTTTTGGTTGGTTTTTTTTTTTGCAAAGATACAGGAGTGGTTTGCCATTTCCTTCAGTTCATTTTACAGATGAGGAAACTGAGGCAACAGGGTTAATTAAGTGACTTGCCCAGAGACATACAGTTAGTAATTTGTCCGAGGCTGGATTTGAACTCAGGTCTTCTTGATTCCAGTCCTGGTGCTCTAGATATTCACCACCTAGCTGCCTTACAGTGTGATAGGGCAGCCAAAAAAGCTAATGTGGTCTTACACTGCATTAACATATTTGTAGCATTCATAACGAGGGAGGATAGAATCCTACCCATCTACTGAGCCTTAGTCAGTAAACTGTAATCCTAAATTCAATTCTGTACTTTACATTTTAGGAAGGATATTGATAAGCTACAATGAATTCCAAAGAAGGCAAATAGGATGATAAAGACCGTGAAACTATATCATATGAGAACTAACTGAAGGCTTTGGGAGAATAGGATAATGATCTTTAAACATTCAAATGTCCATATAATGTGGAATTCAATTCATACATTCATTATGCATTTACCAGGTGTTAGGCATGGTGCTAAGTGCTGGAGGAAACACTTATTTTGCTTGGAACTGGGGGGGCAGAACTTGGAAAAAATGTGTAGAAATTACAGAGAAGTATGTCCTTGAGCCAAAAGCCACTTAATTAAATTGTTCCAAAGTGGAATGTGCTGCCCAGGAAGGTAATAAGTACCCAAGTACTGGAGGTCTTTATGAAGAGGCTGAACATTTTGTTGGGTATGTTGTAGAGAAGATTCCTGTTCCATTATGGGTTATACTAGATGACCTCTGAGGTCTCTTCTACTCTTCTCAAATAATCTATATAGCATGACTGAATGATTAAAAAAAATGTTCTCTTTATTACCTCAACTGACCAAGTTGCCATTAATTTAAAAAACAAACTCCAAAAGCCTTAGAATAGTTGCCTTTCTGGAACATTAAATCAGTATTCTAATATCTCTGTAAATGACTTTCTGGAGAAAAAAAATGTCAACTTCAACTCCATAATGCCCAGTGCTGTCATTAGAGCTCAGTTCCTTGAAAGCTCATCTTTGCCACTAAGTCTATGAGATCATTAAATACAGATGAGGTCAACCTTTTTTCAAAGTATATCTAGACAAATGCTGAGTTAATCTAACATGGCTAGAATGCTGAGTAGCAGGGAATATAATTCCCTAAAATCTTTCAGGCTCTGATTACCTAAAACAGTGTTAAATCAGATAAGTCTTCCAAACTGCTTAACAGCAATACTTGCATTTTGTTTTGTTTGTTGATTTTAGGAAGAGCCAAACTGCCCTCAGACAAATGACTTCAAGAGTTTTTACATTTTTAATATATTTTTAAAAGAAAGTAGCAATTGAATTGGTAATATTCATTACACACGATGCTATATTCAAGATTTGACCAACTACCAAATACATTTTCCTTTTACCAAAAATTGGATCTTCAAAAATAAAACATTAAAAGCATAATAGGTTACATGACAGGGGAAAAATAACAAAAAAGAAGTCTATTTAAGCTATAAAAATTAAAGTAAAAGCTTATTTATTTGGTCATTTGGAATTAAAATAAATGTTAGTTATTCTTAAGAACATTAATTTCAAATCATACCATTAAAACACTGGATCCATTTTCTACGTTCATCTCGCTGTCCTCCGACATCAAACATGCTGGTGAAGAGAAATATCTAGTCACTTATGGGGGCTAACATATGAAAAATCACTAAAGCAACAAGAGGGGTGAAGTTTTTATACCTCATTCAAAGTGTTTAGAAAAATAACATTTTTTAATTTAAGTATGAGTTTGTCTTTCTTTTCCTCTCCAAAGCTAAAGAAATTTTAGTTCCTGAATGAGCTAGTATAATTTAGAACAATCTTGATCATAAAGTTAAATAAACAAAGAAACAAATAAATAATGGACTTGTTTATATCAAACAACGGCTCATCTACTTAACTGTTCTTGAAAGAAATTTCCAATCATATCATATTATATTCTTATTTGTCCTAAAACCAGGAAGACAATTCAAATAATTATTTCTAATGTAGAAATTAGTGTGTGTATCTGAAAGTTTCTAATATAATTATTTCCTATAAAAGCTCATCAATTACAATTTATGTAAATCAAGATGAATACTGTCAATGTCTGATCAGCATTCTACTCAGTGTAAATTAGAAGTAAGACAAATGTACTAGTAGCAGAATTTCAAGAGAATATAAGCACTCTAAGGACAAGGACTGTTTCATTTTTGTCTTTGTATCACTAGCACAGTGCCTGGTACATATTACGTACTTAACAGAGGCTTATTGACTGATACTAAAAGAAACTGAATCACTTATTACAATTTCATTTACCTAAGCAAACATGCAGAGATTTGAATATATGAATTATCAGAATCATTTTCATTTTTGTTGCAATGGAAATGATTGGAAGCAGTGTGGTAGAGTAGAAAGAGCTCTGATACTTGTGTGACTTTGGGCAATATAACCTCCTTGGTCATCTGTTTCCTCATCTGTAAAATGAGGTTGGATGAGACAGCCTCTGAGTTTTCTTCCAACACTAGGTCTATGATCCTGTGCTTAGAATTTTCATAGCAGGATTGCTAAGGTTATGACAAACAGTGAAGGCCATTTACACAAATAAAAAGAGAAACAATAGGAATGATCAGACTTAGAGTGTTAGACATCTTCTAGGCAAAGTAATATATAAATACATCTTTTGACAGAGTTAAAAGTGAAAGGAGGTAACTAGTATAAAGCGATTTAATTAATAAGCAATTGTTAAAGGAATCTATACACCTACTATGTGCTAGGTGCTGGGAATGCAAAGGCAAATAATGAAAATGGTTCCTGCCCTCAAGCAGCTTTCACGCCACTGACAGGTTAGTGAAATGATGGTTCTCACAAAGAAACTAAGACAGTCAGTATGACATGATTACTTTATAAAGGGGTAGGATTGTTTAATAAATATTTGTTGAATCAATGAATTTGTTGAGCCAAGGCAATATAAAGGATTATTTTTGAAGTAGGACATCTGAAAGTATATAACTGACTAAATTTATATTTTTATATAGTTTCGGCCTTTTCACAAAAAAGTGAGAAAAAGAAGCCTTAAACCTCATAATATTGCCAATGCCATCACAATGTCTAATAAGCATATTTTTCTTTTCTGTTTGGTAGCACTGATCAACGAACAATCACAGATTTTAGCTTAGGTAGAAAAACATTTCTATATTTTATAAGGAGCCATTTTTCAATTTATGTACCAAAAGGAAAAATTTTTGCTATTACTTATATTGATAACTCACATTTATGTAGTTCTTCAAGGTCTACAAAACATTTTCCTACAAGAACTCTGTGAAGCAGGGTGATAACAAAAATTCAAAGGCAACTCCCATAACCTTCTTTTACCAGAAATCTTTTTCTTTTCAGAAATCTTTTAAGAGCTTCATACTTCAGTTCTTGTAAGTAAAATACTGGAAAGGCAGGAAAGGATAAAGGGAGAAAACAAACTGTGACACTTTCACTTACTGAAAATTTACTTTATCCACTTGAAATTTGGTTTCAAAAATTCCTGATGTCAATACTCTGCATCTGAGGAGATCCTAAAAACAGAAAGGAAAGTCAGAACAATAAATATCATGATTACTTTAAATCTGATTACAAAGGAAAAGTATTGCTCATACGAAAGAATAAACAACTTATTTTTATATATGCAATAAAATGACTATGACAAAGTCAGAAAAAAGTATTAAATCATGGCAGAGGAGCCATAGTAATCAACACTGATGAAACAAATAGCAAAACTGAGCCCCTACTATAATTATTTACTAAAAGAGCAAGGCAGTTTGGTAAGAATGGTTAACAAATATCCCCATTTAGCTACTTCATTTTTTTTTTGGCTAGGCAATGGGGGTTAAGTGACTTGCCCAGGGTCACACAGCTAGTAAGTGTTATGTATGTGTCTGAGGCTGGATTTGAACTTTGGTCTTCCTGAATCCAGGGCCGGTGCTCTATCCACTGCGCCACCTAGCTGCCCCTATTTAGCAACTTCAACTATCCCTTAGTAGTTTGATCTAAATTACTGAGTTCAGGACAAATAATGAAGTTAGAAAAGCTGGAAATGTAGTTTATGACATTAAATCATTAATTTTAGGATAAAAATTATAATATTCAATTTAAGATTTATACAGATTTCCCTTCCCTTATGCACAATACATAGGTAAATTAACATTATTTATGTCTTCTCTTCATTCATAACAGAAAAAAATAAATCATTATACCATAGTAACTTATTAAAAAGAAAAGAAATAAAGTTGTGCATATAGTGTTAGCATCTTAGAACTTATTCTTATAGCTCACATTTTCTATCTCCTTCAGATTAGCTATATATGACATTTATAGATAGATACTTGCTACAAGTTTTATTTTTATGTATTAATGAATCATAATGATAAGTTGACATTATTTTCTGGACCAGACATGATGATTTTATTGATGTAGGGAAGTAAGGAAGTTTCCTTCCAAGTAAGAAAACACTCAATCAATGCAGACTGGGAAATGTTTTTGAGTTTAGTCTTAAAAGAATTGCGTGGGGCACTGAGAAGTTAAGTGACTTAACAGGGTCACACAGCCAAAGTATATCAGAAGCCGCACTTGGACTTAGGCCTTCCTGACTCCAGAGCTAGCTCTCTATCCACTATACCACACTGTCTCCAAACCTTTAATTAATGTTTAAAATAAATGTGTAGAGACTATAGCTTTAAATACTTTTTAAAGCAAGATGTAATTTGTATCTCAGAAATTTTTTTTAAAAAGTGCTTTCCAAATAAGAACTTTCAGTATATAATAATATAAAATGGTTATATGAAAATGGAATTATCAAAATGAAGTTGTAAAATTAAATGTTTAAAATCCAAAATACTGACATTGATAGCAAGGAAAGTATTGAAAACAAAAAATATATCTATAGAAAAGGCTGGAACTTTGATCAAGATTATCCTCATCTTAACAAATAATTTTTGGATTTATATATTGCTTAGACTGAGTTATGCCACTGCTTCTGACCACTGGTGTGGATAGTTGACATTTGGATTTATTTAAAATTAACATTAAAGTTATTTTTTTTGAGACATGAGACTCCAGAGATTTTTGTCCCAGTCCTATTTAGACTATCTAATGTTTTAATTAACAAATAATATAAAACTAATTATCTTTAGTGGATAAAACTGCTTCAAATTATCTGGAATAAACCAAAATAAAAATACTTATCCTTTATAAAACCTAATATTTATATAGTGCTTTGCAGTTTACATAAGGCTTTTATATACATTATCTCATTTGATCCTTACACTAAGCTTTTAGCTTAGGAAGAAGGAAGTGAGAAAAAAGGAAGAAAGGAAGGGAGAGAAGATGGAGGAATGGAGGAAGGGGGGAAAGAAAAAAAGGAAGAAAAGAAGGGGAGGAAGGAAGACTGATGGATGCTCAAGGTCTCATACAATTTATAAACTCACAGAATGTTAGAGCTGGAGTGAATCTCAGAGATCACTTGGCCAAACTCCCTCATTTTTCAGATGTCGAGAATGAGACCCTGAAAGTCACTTCGACCATGGCAAAACTAGAACTAGGACACAGTGCTCTTTCCATTACATCATGTTACACTTTATTACTTGGTACTGAGCTGCTTGGGACCAAGATATTCCTGAGGAAATGACCAAATCGTATATAGTGCCTTCTATTGCCCCAAATGCTTAACCCATCAAGATTATCCAATCAGTAAGTCAATCAATTATTTGTTGCAAACCTATAGTGTGTTTTCAATATACATTGTTTTGATGTAGCCTAAAAAGGCTAGGATCAGAAAACTAATTTCAGGACCAAGTGGAAAATCTTTCAGAACAGAGTAATATAGATTTTCACATGCCTAAAAAACAATAAAATACCTGCAAAATTTTTTTACATGCTTTATACTGGGTGGATTTTTCACCTAATCAATTAACTATATGCTTATATGCATACCAGAGATAGGCCATCAGGTCTTTCATTACCACCCCTCCAAACAAATAAGTTACTTGAATAAAATGAAAGAATAGCTGTATTGTATAATATCAGTTCATCAAAGGCAGACAGAATTGATCAAAAACAATCCCCACAAAGCCTATGATATTGCCCAATGTTTCTTATATGACTTAAGATCAAGTAACAAAAAATTTGATACCTATTATATTTTATTAAATCAATATCGGTTCAACAAGTATTTGATATTTGCCTCCTACTAGACCCTGTGGATATAAAGGCAAAAGTGAAAACAGTCCTTATTTTTATTAAATCACAATATTTCCACATGGTGTTCATATTCCTCCCAAACTATTTTTATAACATTGTTTATTTCTACTTCAGAGGAAGGATATTTATGAACATAATTAAGTCAACTTCAAATAGTTTTTTTCAAGTATTTTTTAGAGCACTCCGATTTTAAGAAGAGTTTCACTCACTTGGTCAGATGGTGTATATTCATTTTGTTTGACTACGTCAATCTTGTCTAGAAAGCTGAAAGAAAAAGAAAAGCATTTAAATGTTGTACGTCTGTAAGCTGTATGTCATTACAAAATTATACCTTTTATCAGAGTGATTATCATATACATATTATGCTGTCAATAGGAGTGTTGTTTGATTAATTTTATAACTCAATTCATATACTTTTAAAATGTTAAACAGAATCCTTTGAAATTAGAAACCCTAGAAATTCATTTGGCAATCCATGGATAGAGACTGAAATTAATATTCTGAAATGAAAAAAGGAAAGTAGAAGAACTCTGAAATCTATGTATGTTTCATGAACTAAAAATACTACTATAAAGTATTCCATGAAATTTCAGAGCATCATATGTCTATAATTACTGTATGGTACAGTGGTGGTTTTTTTAGTGAGGGTTCTGTGTCATGTTAAGTGTGACTTTAAAAATACAAAGTAGAATTTGCCATTACTGTCCAGCAGAGGGCCAAAGGCACAACCCTGCAATGTTATTTTTGTTTGTTACAGTAACATTTTTAAGGAAAAAAAAGTGAAATATGAGTTTTAAATTACCTATCTGTGGAGGCATCCCTACACTTCTATCTGTCAACTAAAACCAATAATTCTACTTACTATATCCTTAATATGAGTAAGTATGGAAGAAACAGAAGCCATGGTGTATATCCATAAAGGTACTTGTAACCTACTTCAGGAGATAATACTGTGACATGTTAATCAATTAATGAATAATATAGCCTGATGTATGAGAATTATATACTGACACAATGTGATAAATTATATGTAACCGTTAATTTGAAAATAGAATAATGGTACATGGTAAGGGTATGGTGAGACTATGGACAACAATTGAAAGAGTTAGAGAAGGGGAGATTAGTATAGGTTACAATCATCAGAAAATGCTTAACATACGAACTAAAACTTTATTTTGACATTAAAAAGCAGTATCCAAACCAGGTCTTGAGGCTGCAGGATCCCCACCCCTAATCTAAACTTTAATTATCACTTTGCTTTTAACAAAATACTTGAAAAACTAATTTGTAAAAAGTCCCTTACATCAACCCAAAGTAGTACCATCAGTTTTTACTGATGGGGTCACTAAAACACCAAGAATGCAAATATACTACAAAAGCCTAGCTCTGTATTTTCTTATGCCCTACAAATGACAATTTGAGATAATCTACATATTCTAATAATATTATATAGGTGTTGGGATTTCAGAAATGGCTTGAAGGACTAAAGAAGAAAATGAGGCAGACTGTGAGCAGGGATGGGGCAGAGAAGGTTGGGAAAGAAATCTGGGAGACAAGGTCCAATGTAGGAGAATGTTTATATATTTATTAGGATGATCAGTTAAGTGATCCCCACCCCCCCCATCACTTAAGAAGCAAAAAATGCCAGGGATTTTTCTGCTACACTACTGCTCTGCACTAATCCAAATAGGAAAGCAATCTTTCAAGTGGTCTACGTAGATTTATAAGTAAGTCATCTAAGTCCTATAAAATATCACGCAAATCTAATTTTCTAAGTTTTAACAATTGCCACCAAATGACAAGAAGAAAACTTTTTATCATAATAATTTTCCATTGGCTGTAATTCTATATCAATAGTCATTTCATCCAAAAGTCTTCCCAATAACTTTCATTTCAAATGAAAATGAAATAGTACATTTCTACAATTAGGCATGTCTTTTGTCACTCAAAAGAAGTAACTATTAAGTTGAAATAGAAGACAACTTCAGTTGCTACTGCAGCTATGCCAAAAACTAGCCATCTTTTAGGCCAATGGTCTCCAAAGTCGGGGAGGTGGATGGTCCCCTTCAGAGTGGTGGTGTGACATCAAGGAGGTATGACCCTAAATGGTAAGTAATCAACCAGCTGGAAAAGTGAGGTGAGAAGGTAGGTTACTACATTCAAAGGATTATGCTGGAGCCAGCTCAAACTGGGTCCCAGGAACTGCTGTTAAATTTTCAATGTTAGCATTTACATTTTGGAAATTGGAAATCAGGGCTTGATTTATTCTTTTATTGTTATATTGTTTTACATGATTTTCCAGATTTAAGAAAATGAAGAAAATGTTAGTAATGCTGATTAAACTTGAAAGTATCAAGTGTAAAGCCTCCCACATACCCCTCCCCAGAACTGATTGTTAAACATTTACCAAGCACACTTTTGGTTGCATTCCACACTTGCCACAATAGACCATTTTGGGGCTTATCTCTAACCCAACCACACCTATCCACTCATTATCACCCAATACTTCTCAACTCTTTTTACCTTCAGAAGCTACACAAGCTCCCAAATTCCTTTCTTTAGTTAGTTCCCTAACCATGACTAGAGAACCCACAACAGTAGCTTATACAGCTGCCACTGGGATAATCCATAGTCCTTTATCCTTAGTACACCCTAGACCATCTTGCAGAAGTGAGGTCCTATGGAGCAGTGGGATGGAGTATGCCACACAGGATAAACAGGCATAGATAGCTAGGTTCTTATCTTACTGTATTTTCTTGATCCCCCTTCCCCCCCACTTGAAACTTCCTCATCTTTATTAAGGCACCCCTATCTTTCCAAGCTCTAAGATTTGCAACTTTAGTGTCATCTTTCCTTACTTTCATTCATCCCACATATCCATGAAGTTGCCAAATCTCAGTCACTTTTACCTCCAAAACAGCTCTGACAGATTCTTCTTATTTCTCTTCATACAATCTTTAGGTCAGTCCTTTTTATGATCTCAACTATTCTGATGGTCTCTTTACTGGTTTCTCTGTTTCAAGTTTCTCCTGTCTCCTAATTCATCCTCCAAATAGTGGCCAAAGTTATTTCCTTAAAGCATAGTTCCAAATTGCTCTTCAGAATGGCTGGATCAGTTTACAACTCCATAAACAATGCATTAGTGTTCTAGTTTTCACAAATCTCCTACAACATTTACCATTTTTTTTCTGTCATATTAGCCAATCTGATAGATGTGAGGTACTATCCCTGATTCTTAGCAGAGTGCCTTGCACATAGTAAGCACTTAATAGATGTTTATTGACTGATGGAAAGATGACAGTTGAATCCTAGGGAACTGATTAGATCAATAAGCTAAATAGTATAGATACGGAAGAAAAGAAGGCCTGAGGCAGAGTTTTGGGGGTCATTCAGCATTAACAGGTATGACTTGGATGAAACAAGATACTGAGATGGAACAGTCAGACGTGTAGGAGAGAACTTGGATAGAGTAGGGTCAAAAAAACCTAGAGAGAGACACTATCAAGAATGAGAGGTTGACCAACAGTGTCAAAGGTTTCAAAGAGGTCAAGAAGGATGAAGATGGAGAAAAGGCCATTAGATTTATCAGTTAAAGGATAATTACTTTGGAAAGAGCAGTTTCAATTGACTGATGACGTAGCCAGGCTATAGACAGTTAAGAAGAGCCTGAAAAAACAAAAGTGGAGGCATCTGTTCTACACAGCCATCTCAAGAATTTTAGCTACAAAAAGGAAGGGAAATAAAAGATGATAGCTAGTGGTAATGGATGGATCAAGTGAAGATTTTTTTTAATGGGGAGACATGGGCATGTTTGTAAGTAGGAGGGAAGCAGCCAGTAGACACATAGAGATTGAAAATAAATGAAACGGGGAAGACAGAGGGGGCCATATGTTGGAGAGAGACTGGATAGAATGGGATGACTTGTGCATGTAGTTTGCCTTGGCAAAGAAAAAGGTCACTTCTTCACGTGAGACTGGTGTGGAGGAGATACTAGCATCTGAGTGGTGTGAAATGAGGAGAGAAGAGGGAGCTCTTGGTGAACTGTCTAAATATTTTTAGTGAAATATGAGGTAAGGTTTTCAGTTAAAAGTGTGGGATGAGAGGGAGTCATAGGAGGTTTGAGGAAGAATGAAAAATTTTGGAAAAGTCGCTGTGGTGACTGCAACAGTGAGTCAATTAGAGAGGTGTACATTTACTGCCTTGCTTCAGTGAGGGTCCATTTGAGATTATGTGACACAGATTTGTTTTGGATCTAGTCAGCAATGTTTCATAATTTTCTCCAGCTTCATTCAAAAGCACATGAGTATGAATGAAAGAAGCAGCTGGTGGGACTAATCTCCCCAGGGAAAGATTGGTAAAAAGATAAGGGAGCAAGGGACTTGAAAGAAGAGACAATGTGAAGTTAAACTGTTTCACCTTGATGATGGGTAAGAGAGGAAAGTGTAGTCAATGTAGGGTGATGACTTGGTGGGACAACTAATGGGTGAATGAAATGGAGAGGAAAAAGAACATAATTTGAACCTGGAAGGCAGAGGAAGAGATGGAATGATAAAAAAGTATAATCAAATAAGTGAATTTCCAAGTTCATGAACATAAAAGTGGTGATTTGTACGTGATGACACGATCAAGGGTATGACAGTCTTCTCTCTCTCTCCCCTTTCCTCATTTTTCCTCCCCCTGCTCCCACTGGCCATGCTATAGGAGAAACTGGACCAGAAGGAGAAAAGATATCTATGTAGGAACAGAGAGAGAGAGAGAGAGAGAGAGAGAGAGAGAGAGAGAGAGAGAGAGAGAGAGAGAGAGAGAGAGAGAGAGAGAGAGAGAGATACAAGAGCATACTGAGAAAAGGAGATGCTATCCTTTTATTCTTATACTTATCTCGTATGTGGTAATAAAAACAGTATTATTATTAGTAGTAGTAGTAGTAGTAGTAGTAGCAGCAGCAGCAGCAGCAGCAGCAGCAATAGCAGCTATCATTTATATATTGCTTTACACTTGGCAAAGTATTTTACAAATATCTCATTTTTTCCTCACAACAATCTTGGGTGACAGGTGCTATTATTACCCCTATTTTACAGATGAGGAAGCTGAGGCAGACAGAGGTTAAATGACTTGCCCAGGTAAAATAACCAGTAAATGCCTGAGGCCAGATTGGAACTCAGGTCTTCCTGACTCTAGATCCACTACTCTAATCACAAGTCTCAGGACTGATGCCATGAAGAAGGTGAAGGGAAAGAGCAGCTTCCCTGTCTCCCACCTAGCTA